TTCTTACCACGCACGCACGCACGCACACACGCACACATTAATTGTGCTGAGGAAGTGGATATGTTAATTAGCTTGATTGTGGTGATTATTTCACAATGTATATGTATCAGATCGCCAAGTGGTACTCTTTATTTTTAATTTAATTTAATTTATTTATTTGTTTATTAAAAGATGACCGGTAAGGGGATCTTAACCCTTGACTTGGTGTTGTCAGCACCACGCTCACCCAATGAGCTAACCGGCCATCCCTATGTAGGACCCAAACCCATGGCCTTGGTGTTATCAGCACCGCACTCTCCTGAGTGAGCCACGGGCCAGCCCCAAGTGCTACTCTTTAAATATATATAATTAAAATAACTGGCCTTTTCCTTGCTGCAGAGATGGCAACCTAATTCCACAGCAGAGACACTAGAAAGTGGTCCCTGCCTCCTGGGCTTCCTCTCCAGCGAGACAGGCGTGGCCGGTCCTCCAGGTCCACCCCAGCAGAACCCAAGGGGCGTCATCTTTCACTTATTCTTCCTCCCATAGAAAAATTCAAACGGACCCCATCCTCCACCCTTGGGTATCAGCCAGATTGCCTTGGGGGAGGGTCTCCTAAGACCCCAAGCCCTCCAGCATGGAGTTTTGCAGCTCTCTGCCTCCGCAGCTCCCCAGCATCCTCCCTCTTATCGAACCTGTTCCCTGTCTCCATGGCGACACCACCTCACCCAACTTCCTTGGGTGGTCTGATTGCCTCACAGGGTGAAGCTCTGAGAACATTTTCCTAATGTGCAGCCAGAAACTTCCACTTCCTGTGCCCGGGGCTGCTGCCCCTCTTTTCTCTCCCCTCCCTTCTCCTCCTGCCAGCCTCGCCTCATCATGACTGTGTCCAGCTGAGAAGGCACATAGCTTCTCTGGGTGTCCCAAAGGCTGCCGGGAAGGCTTCAGAATGGACCAATCTTCTCAATGCCCTTGCTTGTCAATTGAGAGCAGCAGTTTGTGGGGCCCGGTGCAAAATGAAAGCGTGTACCTCTTGTCCAAAAATTATCAGTAATTTCAAAACGGCAACAGCAGAAAATAAAACTAAGTTCAGGCCCTTCAGAGTGTGGGGCCTATGCAACTACACAGGTCCCATGCCTGTGAAACCAGCCCCGGGGAGCAGTATTTTGTGTGTGCGCGCGTGTGTGTAATTGTAATGGTCATAGGCAGACGGTG